TGGGGCCATGGAAAGTGAAAAACTTCACTGGAGACAGTGGGCAGGGGTGAGAGGGCTTCAGGTTTCAGTGGGACAGAGATTGTGAACTAGTTATTCCCACGATGAGTGCCCAAAGGGGTGGTACGTATGTGGAAAGCAAAGCTGAGGTAGAGATTGGGGACATCGGTGGCCATTTCCATCACCCCTAGCCATTACAGGAGGGAGTAGCCTCCTTACTCCACAGCCTTTTCCTGGTCCCCTCTCCTTGAGGTCATCTCCCCAGAACAGGGTGGGGCAGCCCTTTGGGTGACGTATCTGATCCGACCCTGGGCCCCTGGTTGAGTGGTCCAAACTAGCTTGGAAGAAATGTCTGTAACCTCAACCTGTTGACAGTCCTGTTGAAATAAAGGGCCAGCAGGCTGCTAAACAGGCAGCACCAGTCAGGAGAGGCAGGGTATTGCAGGGTCCTGGAAGGCTGAGGCACAGGCCATGCTGTTCTTTCTCCTGGTCTGTCTCCAGCTTCCAAAACCACGAGGGAGCCAAGAGAGAGCCACATACGTGTATCCCAGGTCTTAAGGGTCCCCAGCGGCCACTCAAGGTCATAGGCAGGTGTGACAGTTACCTGCTACCTCACTAGGGGTGGTGCTTCAAGGTCATAGCTAGAACAGCTACCCACTACAGCAGGGTCCCAGAGAAGAGGGACCTGTTAAGATCTGCATGGGTTCTTTGTTCTCATGGGCTTCACATAGAAACAGGAAATCCAGCAATACCACACACCTCCAGGGTTCTGAAGATCATAGGTACCCACCTAACCACCCCACTCAAGAAGAGACCCTTGAAGAATTGTGTCCATCAGGCAAAAAAGTTCTAGGTTATTGTGAGACCTGGGGAAGTCTCTGAGTTCCCACTTGGCAGACCCTGTCCTAGTCTGCCGTGATTGACAGACTGTGCCTATTAGATGATAATCGGAACTATAAGTCAGGGTGAATCTGAAGAGTATGAGCCATGAGGCCAAGAACTAGGAGTCAGCCATAGACAGGGTTAAGGGGTTATCCACAGGTAGAGTAGTGATCAGGCTGGGACCTGGATTTGGCATGCAATTTCCATCCAGAAATGGAGTTACTTTCTGTAAACCAAGTAGTTCTACCCAGTGACTCTCAAACTCAGATGTTACCACCCAGAAATTAGAAGTCCTTGGGATGGGGGTCTGCCTCCATCTGATTCTATCCCTGTACTCTACCGAGACCTAGCTCTTGGGAGCTGAGTTATCCTAAGCTCCTTAGGCAGCAGTCTCCTCAAATGTTTTTGGGTACACATGCATGATATGGTGGGAAGATCACATGTATGTCCCTGTACAGCTGCTAGCCCCTTTACCTCCATCTCTTCGGAATCTGTGGAGACTCCTTTATCACAGTTTGTCTCAGTTCCTACCTCCTTCAAAAAGAACTCAGGGTAGGTACAATAAAATTCTCAATAAGACCCAGTACTAAAGCCAAATCCACAGAGAAGCTAAGAGCACTGTCCACACACACCCAGCTCCCTGCCTTTCCCAGCACTCTCCATACCTGGACTTGGTCCTCACAAACCCAATACCACCCATTGCGCTGAGGTACAGAGAGGTGACACACTCTTAGATGGTACCATAATGGGTCCTGGTGGAGGTAAAGGCATCTGCTTGTGACATGGAATTAAGCCTTAGAGTGACAACTCAACTCTTTTTCCCTTGGAAGTTCAAGGTTATTTTCTGCTATCCAATAAGCTTGGCCCGGAAAATCCATTTATTTATTTGTTTGTTTGTTTGTTTATTCATTCATTCATCAAAGTGGTTCTCAGCACCTAACTCAAGCCTATGACACAGAAGTGCTCAGTACATGTTGTGGAGGGCTTTGATACAGTGGCATGCCAGTAAATACAGTCAGTTCTCTGTTCGCCAATTTCTGCAGTGTAAATACTCCTAGCCACGGCTGCTTTCAAGCTAACATCACATGTCAGTGGATGTAGAATTAAGAGACAGTGCCATCTCTGGAGAGTTTGTGGTACCCAGCTCTAGTTTATCCTTCTCATCTGAGCTAGGCTTCTGCCCTGATCCCAGGGTTCTTACAGGTCCCTCTATTTGCTTTGCCTCTCTTCAACATCATCCCTTAGCTACAGTCAGCCCTCATCCTTTCCCTAATTTTGGCTCCTGGTACAGCCAACTGTGCCTCTCCAGTATCATGGAAGCAAGATTGTATGTGTCTAGAAATCTCCATGGTGCTGGCTACACAGGGGTACCCTGGATGTACAAGAGTCTGGCTGTCCTTCCCTGATGCTGGGTGTGTTCGGATAGTGTGTGAGCAAGGGAGTATCCTTGTGTGTATGGGTGTGCCACTGCCCGGCTCTATGTCTGCTTGTGTTCTGTTAGCAAAACTTCCTGATCAGGCTACAGAGAGGTGCAGCCTCCACCTTTGTTTAAAGGGATAGCCAGGCTCACATGTAAGAGCAATAGCACCCATGATTTGCAGACTACGGAGCAGCGAGAACACTTGAATATGGCTTAATCTATAAGGAGAATCTGAATTACCTTGGGAATCTCATTAAAATACATGTTCTGGCCAGGCGGTGGTGGCACACACCTTTAATCCCAGCACTTGGGAGGCAGAGACAGGAGGATCTCTGAGTTCAAGACCAGCCTTGTCTACAGAGCACGCATTCCAGGACAGCCAGGTCTACACAGAGAAATCCAGGGGCGCGGGGGGGGGGGGGACAGAAAAAGAAAGAGAAGCGGGGAGGGAGAAAATAAAGAAAAAGAAAAACACAAGGTCAGGGTGGAGGAGTCTGAATTTCCACAGCTCTGTGCGGCATGGTGATGCCGGGACTGCTGGACCTGAGGCCACACTTTGAGTAACAAAACTATTGATGAGTTGGAGGCATTTGCTTAGAGCTTGGACCCCAGAACCTCACAAATTCAAGTTCAAACCCCTCCCATGTTAGGAACAAAAACACAGCTAACCTTGGTTTATAACAAACGATCAACTTGAATCAGCAAGCTGGCTCATGGGTAAAAGCACATGCCATGCAACCCTGATGACTGGAACCCACATAAAGGAGGAAAGAGGGAAGTGACTGTCCTCTGACAGCCGCACAAGCACCCTAGATGCCTCCATCGTCAACTTCTCCCCTCCAGTAAAATCATAATTAAAAAATTAAAATGTGTTTAAAAATGAAAACACATGAACACATAACCTTCCTTGCCTCCCTCTGGGAACTTGTACCCACCCTCCTCAGCCAAGCTTCTTTTGCCCAGCTTTACCTGGGTTTATCTGTCTTGGGCCAGTCGGACAGATATTTGCGATCTTAAGGACTTCTTTAAATTATTTTTTAAATTTTGTTTGTATGAATGTTTTACCTGCGTGTCTGTCTGTGTCCCACACGTGTGCCTAGTGCCCACAGAGGCCAGAAGAGGGCTTGGATCCCCTGGAACTGGAGTTGAAAATGGTTGTGAGCCACTGTGTGGGCGCTGGGAACAGAACCCAGGTCCTCCTCTACAGGAACAGCAAATGTTCTTAACTGTTGAGCCATCTCCCCAGCCCCTTTGTTCGAGGACTTCTCAAAATCATCTAGCTTCACCCTCTTCTCTTGCTGGGGTTGTCATGGAACCACAGGAGGGTCCTTGGTCAGCCTACTTCCACCTGCCAAGCCTTTAAATGTCCTTCTCCCTTCCCTCCCATTCCACTTCCTCCCAGACTCCCACGACAATGACTCTCTAATGTATACTCAGGGACTGCTCCCTATCTCCAGACTACACATCTGATGGCTAGTTTGGTTTTGTTTCGACCTCCGCGTGACACAGCATCCACACTCTGCCCGCTCCTGCTGCCCACCTTCCTTCTGTCCTGTCTTCCCTTCCATCCCCCAGCTTAAGTCAGAAGAGTTTCCTCCTAAGGCCCACTTAACGGGCCTGATCAGCTCTGCTGATTTACACTACCACCTCTGAAATGTCTGCACTTGTGTCTGAGGTGCACAGTTCACGGTCATCTCGAGCCTGGAAACCTATAGCGCCCCGCTGATTTCCCACTTCCATATTACTCTCCAGCAATTCACTCTCTCGGGCAGCCAGAAGCATCAGAGTGCAGGCATGGTCGGTCATGCTCCACCTGAACCTGCAACTTCCAAACCTCGAAGATTTCCTGTTGCCCTTCACATAAAACCCAGTCTCAAGGAGGGTCCAGCCCAGCTCTTTTCTCCCACACCGACGCCATCTTCACATCCTTAGTATGCTTGGCATTCTCAAAGTTACTTTCATGCTTGTCTGATCGAGAGTGATCACCTAAGTCCCCAGAATAGGCACAGGTCATTTCCTAAAACATGGCTGGTGATCCCATTGTGAGGACACCTGACTAAGCAGGTAAAATGAAAATTTGGCAACAAGAAGTCTGCTGAATGTTCAATGACCAAAAATGACGTCAAAATCAAAACTTGAATAAATCCAACTGTCTCTGGCAGGGCTAGCCTGTGTCGCGCTTGTGTGGCCCACAGCAGCCTTGGCTCTGAGCACACAACACGGCCCCTTTGCACTGTGCATGCCCATCGACCACGAAATATCCACAGAAGCTGGCAGAAACACCTTAGTTCAGATTTGAGACTGGTCTGTGTTAGGAACTGCCGTGTTTTACTGTACATACAAAATGACGGAACTCTTCTCTGGCTCCTTATAGGAACATGCTGGTTTAACAACGGAGAACAAAGACTTCAATATCCCCCCGCCATTCCTCAACATGTAGGTATCATTGAGTTGTATCATGTTAGAAATTGTTTTGTATTATGTTAGTGGGTTTCTTGTTGTTGTTTTTGTTTTTTTTAAGAATGTTTGATTTTTAGCTGGGCGTGGTGGTGCACACCTGTAGTCCCAGCATTCGGGAGGTAGAGGCAGGCAGACCTCTATGAGGTCGAGCTTGGTCTACAGAGTGAGTTCCAAGACAGCCAGAGTGGTTACACATGGAAACCCTGTCTCAAAAAACCAAAATCAAACAAACAAACAAACAAGAATTTGACTTTTATTTTTATTTTATTTTATTTTATTTTACTTTATTTATGGGTGTTTTGCCTGCATGTATGTCTGTGCACCACTTTCATGCCTGGTACCTCCGGAGGCCAGAAGGGCATCGAATCCCTTGGAACGGAAGTTTCAGTTGGTTATGAACTGATGTGTGGGTGCTGGGAATTGAACCCAGCTCCTCTGGAAGAGTGCTCTTAACCACTGGGCCATCTCTCCAGCCATGAGGATGTTTGATTTTAAAGACTGCTTTTTGAGTTGCTGAGTTGAATTTCACTGAAAAAAAAAAAATTAAATGAATTTTGACTTGAGATTAAAATAGAATTTCCTGAAATTTCTGAAATGGCCCTAGATATACTTCTGTCATTTTGAACTATGTACTTATGTGAAGCAGCATTCTCAGCTCGACCATTATAAAAATCAAAATATCAGTCAACTCTGACAAATGTTGAAGAGATGTTACATTCTGTAATATCAGATATTCATCCAATATTTATTTATTGGTTTTCTTAAAACAGGGTCACATGTATCCCAGACTACCCTTCCTTGTGATATGTAGCCAAGGTTAACCTTGAATTCCTGATCTTGCTGTCTCCACCTCCCAAGGGCTGAGAGTAGAGGCATGAGCCACCACACCTGGCTAAGACTTCATTTTTTAATGTAAAAAAGAAGCAAGCACATCCATCTCACTACTATTCAAATTTTCACCTATCTTTAATAAGTGGGAAAAGTACATATATATGTGTGTGAATTGTTTTCAAAATAAAGTTCTATATGACTTACTATGAATATTTTATTTACATTCCTATTTTATATGATTATAATATCCTGGATTATATACCCTGGATTGCATGTAAAATAGGGTCTCAAATGAAACAAGGTCACAAGGGGAAAGTTTAAGGATCCCCACTGTGGGGCTGCAGAACTTGTTCAGCTGTGAGGGGCCCTGGCTGCTTTTCCAGAAGACCCAGGCTCCCAGCACCCACTTGGCGGCTCACAGCTATCTGTAACTCTAGATCCAAGGAATCTGAGGCCTCCATGGACACCAGACACACACATGTTATACAGGCATGCTCATGAGGCAATAAAAATATTACCAGCACAAAGTGAGCACCAAACACTGAGGAGGGTCGTGGTTCCTACAGAGCCATTTTTGAGCAAGCCAGGCCTGTGGAGACTGAGCTCCAGCTGAGATGAAGGGATTTGGTTAGATATGCTAACAGAATTGTGATGGTGGTTTTCAAAAATGTGACGACATCTTTATCTCCAAGAGAGACACCCTGAGGGGTTTGTAGGTGAAAGAGTGTGATGTCAAGGATTAGCATCGAATGACTCTGGATCAGAGTAAAGAAACAGCACAAAGAACACTCCGGGAAAGAGCCAAGAATGAGTAAGTCTCATTTTGCTTTGTCTGTTCTTGTTGACAGCTACAGAGACTGCAAGGATGCTGACTGTCCCGGAAATGGGCCTGCAAGGGTTGTATATCAGTAAGACCTCTGCTGCCCCTCCCTGCCCACCACCCCACTTGCCTTGGCATGGAGACTACTAGCCACTGCCCCCAATTGCCTCTCTCAGCACAAGTTCCTGAGAACCATTCTATACATTCTACACTCTGTGTGTGTGTGTGTGTGTGTGTGTGTGTGTGTGTGTGTGTGTGTGTGTGTATGGTGTGCACACCTGTGCATGTGTGTGCAGTGATGGTCCGTACACAGAAAGTATCTGTTCAGAGAGCCCTGTGTGTGTGCATATGCTTATCTGTGTGCAAAGGACTTGCATATGCTTTGTGCAAGTATGTGCATGGGACCCTTTGTGCGTGTGTATGTAGGGTCCCCATGCACAGGACCTTGAGTGGTCTGCAGGGGAGCCTGTGTGCACTGATCTCAGCACATCTGCTTTCATCCGGGTGTAGGCTTTGTGCTCTCTGCAGGGTGGGAGACCAGCAGGCAGGCAGGACACTCCTCAGGAAGTCCATTCACAAAGACCTGGTGGGCTGGGCCCTTCCTTCCTGCCTCCCTTCCCAGGCTCCAGCCACAGCAACTGCCTTTCACATTAGAGCTGATAGCAGGGCCTAGTCCATACTGGATGCCCAAGGAAGGGAATCTTGAACTGTAGCTGCCCTGACCCTGTTTTTCTAGTACCCAGAAACACTGCAGCTGCGCCCAGGCACTTCCTATAGACCCTCGAATACATCCCTGGGCTATCCCAGGGCCACTGTCAAGGATCACAGACAAGCTGAGGGAGCACACACAGATGTCCCTGTCCCAAAGTACGGTCAGTCAGACCTGCTGACATGGGCCTTCATGCCAGATCCCACTCTCCTCCTGTCAGCCTCTCTAACCCCATCCATTGGTGTCAGGGTCTCAGTGCCATCCCTTCCCATGACCCTTAGCAAACCTTAGTGTGCTGGTGACTAGTGACTTCGATGCCACCTTTGGGTGTCCTGCCAGTCTGGCCTTCCTGTCCCATGAGTGTCTAATTCAAGCCATACCCGGGGCCCTCCTGGAGGTTGCTCTGTTTCCTAGACCCTAAAGCCCAGCTCAGGCCTAGGCCCTCAGGAAGATCTCAGTGACCCTTCTGCCCCCAATGCTAACTTGAGTGTATGTGTGTGTGCTGGGACAGGTGGTCAAAACTCCTGGTGCTGAGGACATCCCCAGACACAGAGCTGGGTTGGGGATAGGTGCTGCCTTCCCTTTCTGGTCCTGTCTGTGCCCTCTGGGAATGGGGGAACTCCCTCAAGTCCTGATTAGAACCATGTGACCTGACGTAATGGCAGAGAGGAACAGCCTGCCTCTGGGCCACATGTCCCACCTCACAGCCACTTACATCTGTAGCCCCCTCTGGCCCTGCCACAGGAACCCATCTGCCCACTGCTCCTCCTACCCATCTCTAGACTGTCTTTCTACCACAAAATGCTTCTCTGCCTCCTTCTGTTCTCCTGCATGTGCTTAAAGGGGACTTGGGAAACTGTGCCCAGGTGACACACACAAGTCACCATGCAGGGGGACAAGTGCATCTGACTGGTCCAGGAAGGTGCTTAGACTCAACCCTGCGTCGTGCATGTCCTTCCTACTCCCTCCTGTCCCGCTTCCCCTCACAAATGGCCCTTTGCCTCAGCCAGGCTCAGAGAGAACAGATAGACCTGCTTCCCAGATCATTCGAGGGTGACTTGGCCTCTCTTCTCTACAGGCTCTAGCCCAGACAGATCCCCAGTGCCCAGCCCACCCGGCTCCCCGAGGACCCAGGAAAGCTGTGGCATTGCCCCTCTCACACCTTCACACTCTCCAGTAAGCCCTGATTGGGAATTTGGGTGGTCAGTGGCCTGGGTGGTATGGAAGAGGGTGGCCCCTGGCAGAGCTGTGGTGGGGACTGGACTGAAGAAAGGTACAGAGGCATGCCACCAGGCCTCCTACCCCGGGCACACTAGTCATGTGTCCCCATGGCCTTGGACTATAGACGTAGCGATTCTACTGAAAACATAAGCTCCAGGTAACTCACTTCTACTGCTCTCTATAGCAGGATGACTCCCAGGAGCCACTGTGGCTGACCTGCTTAGGCAGGCATACGACTTTTCTAGGTCCTCAAGCCCTGTTCCTGCCAACCAGAGCCCTAACACACTCTAAGTCCTATCTCAGGGAAAAGTATACTGTTTAAAAATATTTAGAAACTTCACAATTGAAGTTTCCAAGCCCTAGCCTCTGATCTCATAGCTTTCCTGAGTTACCTACCCTATATGGCCTTGTCCTGATCATCCAGCTTGGGGTCCCCTGTTCTCAGGGAGCTCAAGTCGAGCTTGGGAGAAGTAGGGACAATTCCACATATGCATTGGGGCCCCTCCTCTCTTCTACAAAACCAGACTCTGGTTTGTGTTACACAAAGTGTGCACATCCGTGTATTAGAAAACCGCCCAGAAAAGCCAAATTGCTCCCAGCTGGAGCAAGGCTAGCAGCAGGCTGTGAAAATGGCGGGAGAGGCAGATGGGCCGAGGGGATCTGGGCAGCAGTCAGGTGAAGTGGAAGCTAGCAGTCATTTTAAACCCCAGCTGCTGTGGCTTCCTGAGAGGCCTTGGACCGTCCAGGCAGGTGGCATGGCCAGGTCTCAGCCTGGAGGAGGTGCGGTGTAAAACCGGGAAGGTGGGCCAGTGGGTCTGGGACAAAGCTGCTTTGGGCCACAGGCAGTGAAGGGGAGGAGTTCCTCTTAGCCGTTGGCTGACGTTAGGTCTTGAACTTGCAGAAGCCAGAGGCCCGTGCCCCACAGCCGGCCTCCTTCTCTGTGGTGGTAGCCATCGACTTTGGGACCACATCCAGTGGGTATGCTTTCAGCTTTGCTAGTGACCCTGAAGCCATCCACATGATGAGGTGAGGCAGCTGGGCTGGGAAGCTGGGCTGGGGAGGTACCTCACATTCTGTACAGGCCTGGCCTTAGAAATAATCACGGGGCATGGTCTTATCAGACTCCCTTACATCTCTAGGACTCCTCACTGGGACGGAAGGCTGGAGAATGGACTTCAGGTCTTGACCTCCAGCCTTATTTGGAGTCCTCTTACCCACGACAGGAATGTTGGACTTAATTTATTTATTTGTTCATCCGTTTATTTATTTACAGTGCTGGACATCGAGCCCAGGGCCACAAGCATGCTACACAGGTGTTCTGGGGTTGTATCCCCAACCAAGGGCTTTATTTTGGGGATGTATGTTTTGATTTTTTTTAAGTGTGTGTGTGTGTGTGTGTGTGTGTGTGTGTGTGTGTGTGTGTGTGTGTATGTGTGTGTATTTGTGCATTTGTACATGCATATTAAGGCCAGAGGTTGATAAGATCTTCCCCTGTCGCTCTCCATCGTCTTATTGAGACAGAACCTCTCATTGAACCCAGAAGAGCTCACCGATTGGCTAGACTAGCTGGCCATGGAGCTCTAGAGATCCACTCATCCCTACTCCCCACCCCGACCCCCCAGTGGCAGGGTTATAGGTGCCACCATACCCAGGCTCTAAAAATAACAGAAAGGAAGGGAGGGAGAAAACAAAGGAAGGAATCACCAAAGACATTGCAGTAATTTGGCCCTGGAAAACAGCCTTGAGAAGTACAGTGCCTGGGCCAGAGATGGCTTCCCTAGGGTCCCAGGGAAACATATCAGGAGGCCAGACACAGGCCGTGGAATAATAGCTTGCTGTTGCTCATAATAATACAGAGAAGAGTTCAAATGGGATACCCTACCCAAAGGTCTCTCAGGGCTCCTTGGATAGAGAGGATCCTGGGGGGAACATTTGTAGAGAGGGATGTAAATTGGCACCATTTCATCTCCATGAAACTGTAAGAGATATGTACAATTATTATTCTGAGGGGTGGGGTGGTGTTTGAGAGATGGTCTGACAATCATCCCACCTCAGCCTCCTAAATGCTGGGATTACAGTCACCACTCCCATATCCATTATTTTCATTTTACAGACGCGGGGGGGGGGGGGGGGGGGGAACGGAAGCTCAGGGAAGTTGTGTCATGCTCGTGGTCACACAACTGGCCCCTGAGCCAGCACCCAACTGTAGGAAGGTTGCCTTTGGCTCCTGACTGCCTTTGTCTTTGCAGGAAATGGGAGGGAGGGGACCCAGGCGTCGCCCACCAGAAGACCCCTACTTGTCTGCTGCTGACCCCAGAGGGTGTCTTTCACAGTTTTGGCTACACCGCCCGTGACTACTACCATGACCTAGACCCTGAGGAGGCTCGGGACTGGCTCTACTTTGAGAAGTTTAAGATGAAGATCCACAGCGCCACTGTGAGCCAATGCGGCCAGGCTCCTGCTGGGGAGGTGGAGCCCAGAAGGGAGTAGGCAGTGTTAGTGGAGAGCAGGACCTATCGAAAAGACCAGAGGAATGGCCAAACTAGGGGCCTCGCAAGGGGTGGGATAATGGAAGTAACAGAAGGTGAGCAAGACTGACTGTGAGCTTGATGTCGAGGCGGGTTAGAAGGCCGTGTGCAGAACTAGAGGATGGCTGTAGTTGGGGCAGAGCTATGGCCTCCCGCAGAGTGGCCCTGTGTCTCTGCCAGGATCTCACCTTGAAGACCCAGCTGGAGGCCGTGAACGGGAAGAAGATGCTGGCCCTGGAGGTGTTTGCCCATGCCCTCCGCTTCTTCAAGGAGCACGCCCTCCAGGTGTGCGGCTAGTCCCAACCCACGGACTGGGGCAGGGACACCCCCTCCCTTCTATTCCCTTCCTCTGCCCTAATCCCACCCTGAGTCCAGAGGATGAGTGGTCACAGGCCATCTCCAGTTCCTGTCCTGTCTGTTAGAACTTGCACTTGGGCCAGCCAGGTGAAAATCAGACTTCTCACCCCAGCAACAGATCTTCCCAAGCGGGGCTTGATGAGTCCGTCCAGCTCCCAGAGGGGTCTGGAATTGCTTCGGGCCAGTTGTTGCCTCACTGTCCTCCCCTGCTGCAGGAGCTGAGAGAACAGAGCCCAAGTATGCTAGAGAAGGACACCGTGCGCTGGGTGCTGACAGTGCCCGCCATCTGGAAACAGCCGGCTAAGCAGTTCATGAGAGAGGCTGCCTACCTGGTGAGGATGTGCAAGTGGAACTGTGCCCCACCCCAAGATGGCCCTGGGGGTAGCCCACACCTCATCCATCCTTCAACCCTGAGGACCAAAAAAAAATCATTGTGTGAAGATAGTCACCCTTGCTGGGATTTGGGGACGCTGCTGTCCCCAGGAGAGGGGGTGGGTCTGCAAGAACAAGGACAGCTGGACAGGGGCACAGGCCATCATAGACAGTTAATGTCCTGTCAAGTTCCTGAGAAGCAGAGCCCGAGATAGGGAGTACTGTGTATACAGTCTGTTGAAGACAGACTCTGGGGACAAAGAGGGTGGAGGACTCAGGACTGGAGAGGGATGACCAAGGATGCGGTCTTGCTGGAGTCGAGCTTCAACTCCGTTCTACAGGAAGCCCCGGAGGGAGGACTGTGGCAGGAGGACTTGGCCACAGGGAGGCGAGGGTCCGTAACTGCCTGCCATTGCTTGCTGGCGGGGTGGGAGGGGCATTTGTCCATGTGAGGTGGGACAGGTGTCTACAGCAGGAGCTGCACAGCGACAGGCAGGGGCCAGGGACAGCCACTTGGGCCCTCGGCAGCACTTCTGCACACCTCCACGCCTGCCCCAGGCCTTGCAGGTTCTCCCCAGAGGAAAAGGACTATTTAGCTACAAAGGGAGATGATTCTGGCCAAAGTGTGATGTCTTCCTACCACGGAGTATGTGGGGTTCAGACGCTACTCTCTCCAGTGGGGACAGGGAGACCTCACAGAGCAAGACAGGCTGCTTGGCTCTGCCCCTGGGGCCTTGAGGAACAGAGACTAGGACATCCAAAAGCTATCCCAAGCCTGCCTTCCGCCTCCTTGGAGATGCCAACATGCCTCCACCTGTGGGTCGGATGACAGTCCCGTGGGTGCCTGTGCTTGTCTCTAGAGGGGGTTGACTTTGAGCATAATGAGCTGCTCTGCCGGGATCAGATGTCCTCAGACAGAACAGACATGCCTGCCCTGCTTTCTCCCACATTGCTCCCTGATGTCCGCTCAGAAAGGGCTGGCTCAGGGCAGGGCTCAGGGCAGGGACCCTCCATGCCTACCTGTCCCCCTCTTCTTAACCCGGTCAGAATGCATGGAATCCCATGAACTCTAAGCTCCCTGGAGAGAGCCTTTGTCCTGCTGCAGGAAATGACAGATTTTGAGTGTTTCTCCCGTACCCCCACTGGCCTGTCGTGGTGCCTGGAATTTCACTATTTCCTTCCTGCTATAGTAGATTCTCTGGGAACAGAGTTCTCCTGGGAGTGGGGCAACCTATGGCCAATATCTGACACCAGCCTGGTGAGCTGGGCAGTGCCCCACCATCCCCTCCAGTCCACGGCACCCACCCCACTGTGCTGGAACACAGGAACTCCACAGCCAGCACTTAACCCCCACCATCCCCTCCAGTCCACGGCACCCACCCCACTGTGCTGGAACACAGGAACTCCACAGCCAGCACTTAACCCCCACCATCCCCTCCAGTCCACTGCACCCACCCCACTGTGCTCGAACACAGGAACACCACAGCCAGCACTTAACCCCCACCATCCCCTCCAGTCCACGGCACCCACCCCACTGTGCTGGAACACAGGAACTCCACAGCCAGCACTTAACCCCCACCATCCCCTCCAGTCCACTGCACCCACCCCACTGTGCTCGAACACAGGAACACCACAGCCAGCACTTAGTTAGCCAGCTCTGCACCTGGAGAGGGAAACTTGCTGTAACCATGCCATTTCTTTCTGCTCGGTAAGCCGTTGGCTCCTTGGCCCTGGCCCTCCCCAGCCTGACCTCACGGCGCCTGTGAGGCATCTTCAGCTGTGTGTAGCATGAAGGGGCCTGGCAGGCCCAGCATGGCTGGTGTGTGATGGGAGAAGAGGTGGGAGGCCCCAGGCCCCAGAGTGCCATCTTACATGACAGTCTATGGTGCTGCCTGGTGCTGGCCACCACCTATCCCCAGGCTGGCCTGGTGTCTCGAGAGGATGCAGAAAAACTACTCATTGCCCTGGAGCCTGAGGCTGCCTCTGTCTACTGTCGAAAACTTCGCCTGCACCAGCTCATGGACCTGAGCAGCCGGACTGCGGGTGGTGGGCGCCTGGGCGAGCGCCGTTCTATCGACTCCAGCTTTCGACATGGTAAGCTGTTCCAGGGTTGCTGCCTAGTGCTGGGTTCGGTGGCAAGTGCCCTTGAAAGGTTGGGAGGTTAGCGATGTCTAGGATGGAAAAGGGGGAGTCACCACCCTGGGGGAAGCTAGGTAGAGTTCAGTGTGAGGAGGACACAGCCCTGGCTCCAGGACCCCAGGTGGAGGACAATCTCACCTTGACCAGGGAAGAAGAGTCTGAGGGTCAGGGAGACAGACTGCCTTGGGACAGGGGCTCAGTGGACACTAACAAGGGAGCAAGCTGGGCCCCAGCCTCCTCTTCAGAGGCTTTTCTTTAAACAGCCTCTCCATCAACTGTTACCCCACATCAACCCTGCCCCGCCTTGCCCCTTGCAGCCAGACCCAGGCACTGAGGCCAAGGACAACTGTAGTCCGTTTTGGCCATCCTCCTAAATGTGATCTCCCTGGCAGGGAGAGGCCCCAAGTCCCGAGATTCCCTGGGACACTTGGAGACCTCTCCCACCCAGATCCTTCAAGGCCTCTCAGGCCTGAATGTGCCAGGACCTGCTCCCTCTGGGTCAAGAAAAAGTCCTGTGTCCAGCCAGAAATGCTTCTAGTGCCTGGGGTTGGGATCAGTATTGCCGCAGTGCCCGGGACAGCCTTGGTAAGGAGAAGAGTTGGGAGTGGTAGCTAGCTCCTAACCTCACTTTGCTGTCGTGCCCAACCCCAGCCCGGGAGCAGCTGCGCAGGTCTCGCCACAGCCGAACGTTCCTGGTGGAGTCTGGTGTGGGAGAACTGTGGGCAGAGATGCAAGAAGGTGAGGCAACAGGGTATGAAGGAACACCCCAATTCCTGCAGGAAACTGCAGGAACTGGGGATGGGTACATCTGTGAAGCCTACATCTTCCCTCAGTCATCCTGTTTACAGCGGCACCCTCTACTCATCCCGCCAGGAGATTCTGTTCCATGTTCAAGCCTCAAATCCGATCCCTTCCACACTCAGCATCCTTATTTGATAGCCTGAGATGAAGCCCTTCATCTCCCTCCCTGCTTCCATACTGTCCCCCAAGGCTAGGCTTGGTGTCTGGAGCAGGGTTGGGGGCTGGCGGTTGGGGGTGCAAGACTGAAGGCGAGAGACGGGCCTTTAATGTTACCTGTATCGACCGGTGCAGGAGACCGCTACATGGTGGCAGACTGTGGGGGTGGCACTGTGGACCTGACTGTACACCAGCTGGAGCAGCCTCATGGCACCCTCAAGGAGCTCTACAAGGCTTCCGGCGAGTAGACCCATAAGTACCCTTGCCACCCAGCTCGCACAGGACCTTCCATCGTCCCCTGGTGGCCTATCTGGCAATGACACCCTCTGTCTCCTACCCTTCTGCAGGCGGCCCTTACGGCGCAGTCGGGGTGGACCTGGCCTTTGAGCAGCTGCTCTGCCGCATATTCGGAGAGGACTTCATCGCCAAATTCAAAAGGCAACGGCCAGCGGCTTGGGTGGATCTAACCATTGCCTTCGAGGCCCGCAAGCGCACTGCAGGCCCACACCGCGCAGGCGCACTCAACATTTCGCTTCCCTTCTCGTTCATTGATTTCTACCGCAAACAGCGAGGCCACAACGTGGAGACGGCCCTGCGCAGGAGCAGGTGTGCCCAGGGTCAGGGCTCAGGCAGCGTTTGCTAATGCGGCCTGCCCTTGCAAGGGAGAGTCGGAGGCCTGGTCAGTTCCACACATACACCATGCCAGCTGAGACAGTGACAGGTGGTGGGGTGTGAGTACTGGGTGGTGGGGCAGGTCCACCAGCGGTCAGGAATCAGCAGTCCAAACTGCACGTTGAGAGTGTCATAAGGGACAGAGGTTGCAAATGCTATCTTCTCCCTGCCCCACCCTGTTACTCAATGCTCTTGGCTCTGCTACGCTGAGTGAGCCGAGCAGACAGCAGGGTGGGATTGAGGATAAGGGCAGGTGTCCACCCTGTGACACGTGAGGACCCCTGACTAGAAGCCGCAGCAAACAGCTGGACTGACCCGTGGACTTGTGTGTCCCCTTCACCACCTGCAGTGTGAACTTCGTGAAGTGGTCCTCACAGGGGATGCTCCGGATGTCCTGTGAGGCTATGAATGAGCTGTTTCAGCCCACAGTCAGTGGGATCATCCAACACATAGGTGAGTACCTGGATGCCCCATTCATCATCAAATCCAGGTTCAGAAATAATTCCTGTCATCTATGCCTGTAAACCCCCACACATCCTTACCTTGGGATGAAACCCAGAATCCTCCATAATACCTGGAGCAAACAACACATGGTGACTATGGAACTGTTTATAGTCCTGCCAGGTTCAAGAAGGGCTGGTGCCTCCATGCCCCCATTTGTAAATGGGACTAAATGAGCTAATAGTGTGTAGAGTGGACACGCTGCCCTGAACAGTGTAAATGCATTCCTGATTCTTTACCCTTCATGGGATGGTAGCAAAGTAGTAGGGTGTTGGGGCTGGCAAGCCCAGTGAGGAGTGCCAGGAACCTTCAGTGAAAGAGCTCTTTTCTATCAATGCCCGGTTTTTAGATGCTTTTAATTAAGAGTATCGGTGGGGCCGGGCACAGTGGCACATGCCTTTAATACCAGCACTTGGGCTGGGCGGTGATGGCGCACACCTTTAATCCCAGCACTCGGGAGGCAGAGCCAGGCGGATCTCTGTGAGTTCAAGGCCAGCCTGGGCTACCAAGTGAGTTCCAGGAAAGGCGCAAAGCTACACAGAGAAACCCTGTCTCGAAGAAAGAAAAAAAAATACCAGCACTTGAAAGAGAGAAAGAGGTAGATCTCTGAGTTTGAGGCCAGCCTGGTCTATAAAGCATGTTCCAGGACAGTCAGGGCTCTGTCATACAGAGAAACCCTGTCTCGAAAGACCAACTCCCCTCCCCCTCCGCCCTCCCCCCAAATACTGGTGTGGGCAGCAGAGCCACTGGTGGCCTTTAGTGACTCTGTCTCCATCCCTCTCTTCCTGAACCCCATCCCACACCGGTCCCTGCCCTGCAGAGATGTTGCTGGCTAGGCCTGAGGTGCAGGGCGTGAAGTTGCTGTTCCTGGTGGGCGGCTTTGCGGAGTCGGCCGTACTGCAGCATGCGGTGCACACAGCGCTGGGCACCCGTGGCCTGCGCGTTGTGGTCCCGCACGATGTGGGCCTCACCATCCTCAAGGGAGCCGTGCTCTTTGGCCAGGCCCCCGGTGTGGTGCGGGTACGCCGCTCCCCTCTCACTTACGGCGTGGGTGTGCTCAACCGTTTTGTGCCCGGCCACCACCCACCTGAGAAATTGCTGGTTCGGGACGGGCGCCGCTGGTGCACTGATGTCTTCGAGCGCTTCGTAGCGGCCGAGCAGTCAGTGGCCCTGGGAGAGGAGGTGCGGCGCAGCTACTGTCCTGCGCGCCCGGGCCAGCGGCGTGTGCTCATCAATCTGTACTGCTGTGCTGCGGAGGATGCACGCTTCATCACTGACCCTGGTGTGCGCAAGTGTGGCGCACTCAGCCTGGAGCTGGAGCCTGACGGCTGCCCGGAGAACACAGGCCCGTCCCCCAACCGCCGTGAGATCCGCGCTGCCATGCAGTTTGGCGATACCGAGATTAAGGTCACTGCTGTGGATGTCAGTACAAATCGTTCTGTACGGGCGGCCATCGACTTTCTTTCCAACTGAGGGCGCCCCTTCCGGTGGGGACACAAGAACATGCTAGCCTTCACAGCAGCGCCCCTTTCTCCCTACCCTGAGCGAAATGTGAAGGACACATGGAGACCAGCTTTGGTATTGGGTCTTGGTCTGCTGACTGGAACACTAAAAGTCCCCTTGCTCCAAGAGAGCACCCAAGAGGCGAGGTGGTATAAGAGATTTCTAAGAGGTTTGTTAGAGGGTGAGCGCCGCTTGGCAAGTGTGTGACCACGAAGACAGACTGCAACAGAGGACTAAACACTGGGGGTGAGGGGAAGGGGAAGGGGAACTGCTGAGGAGCCGGTGAGGTGCAGAACCTGGGCCTGAAGGTTAGAGTTCACTAACTGTTGTGCTTTAGCCACAGGAAGCCAAGAGCAGTTTCATGCGGGGTAGGGGGTTAAGCCCATGCTAAAGGGACAGACAGGTGTAGTAGTACCTGGATGTGTGACTGTTAACCGCGGAGCAGTGGCTGATGGGAGGAGGGTGCACTGCCACAGTGAAGGCAGTTTGGAGGGGATGTAGACACAGCATGCTCTGAGGACCCACGGGCAGCCTATAAATGACCCATTTGCCCCCAACTCAGCCACAGGACAGAGTTATGGGGTGAGGGGCAGGGGGTGTCCCAGCTCTGCCACTTAATCAGTATAGCATACCATTAAGATCAACCATGGGCCTCAGTTTCTCCAAGTGTGAAATGCCAGGCACTTCCAGCCAACCATGGCATAGGACAACTTTACCTGCCTGAGAACTTACCCTAGGTGAAAATAAAGCATTTGTGGTCAAGAAAAGTAGTCTTCTAGAACCACTGGAGTGGGGACCCCCCATAAGTGGGGGCACCGTATGAGGTACAAGTACTGGAGAGGAGCGAGACCGGCCTCAGCTGCACAGATGAAAGGGACTTACTCGGCAAGGAGCTGGTGCTTCCTCGCTGTCGAGCATCAGAGTCCCTGAAGACTGCTCTACGGCCTAGGCAGGAGGCAGCTCCCCACCCAAATTAAGCAGCGAGCCCCAGGCCTAAAAGGCCTCCATCCCCTGACGGTGCCGGTGCTACGGTATCATGCAGTACCCCTTCCTCCTGATGGAACCGGCTCACCTGGGAAGGATGGGATAGTCTGCCAAGCCCAGAGAACAAAGCCCCCACTGGTATCTACTGGAACTTTTATTTATTAAGGTCTCTATCCCAACCAGTCATTTAAAAACCAAGTACCACAGACCTGAGGGGTAGGCGCTGGAAACTGTACCTCCTCACCACATGAACCGCAGTGGGGAAGATGGAGGGCAGCAGAGGTGGGGGGTGAGACGACCGTAGCAGCAGCATGGGGCATCAACGTCAGGAGACAGAGCCACTCCGTCCTCTCCCAGTCCCTAGCTAGAGCCCCTATGGCTTGGGGTAGAAGAGGTAAATCCCACCCCAGGTCCCTCCTCCCAGACAGCCTCCTTGGGACTCAACCCATTTCTTCAGTCAGGAGACTCAGGCACATGGGAGAGGAGGAAGTGGGCGAGGACACCACAGGAGAGGCAGGACGGTGGCAGGAATGAAGGCAGAAGTGGGAGGCGTGAGCAAGGTCTAGCCCTGCCACGCCCACCCAGGGGAGAGGTGAGGAAGCCACACCATTACGCAGCATGTCGGGGAGCAGGTGGAATTTAAGGCTCAGGGGCTCAGGCAGGCAGGTAGGCAGGCAGGCAGGGCCCCAGGCCTCAGTCGAAGCCGTGCCAGTCACTGTGTTCTGAGTCGTACTCCAGCTCGGCGCCCACGCACTTGACACCATCCAGCAGCATGGGTGTACCGTGGTGCCGGTCTGCAAGGCAGGTGCCACAGTTAGTGTGCTGGCTGGGTCCTGGTATCACACAAGGTTGATTCAACAGGGACCTCTCCCTCACACTGGCTGGGGACTCGGGAGGACTCTGCCAAGGAGATGAGAGCCCCCTGCCAGCTTCAAGAATCTCCTGAAGCTAGTCTCGTGCCTCCTTCCTCCAGCCAGACCTACCCACTCTCACTCACCCATGACCCGTGCCTGCACCATCACACGCACACAGGTGCCTGGGTCACCTTCGCAGGCCAGGAGCATCTCCTCTTTGAGGACGCCCTCTTTGTGTGCTGAGTACTCACACTTGATGCTGTAACCTGCTGGAGGACAGGGATGGATGTCAGTCAGTACCTCCCAGAGCTCCTCTACATTGTCCCCAGTACTCACAGTTCCCCACCGGGTAAATCTTGCTCAGCCTCTTCCAGAAAGAGGCCCAGATTCCTCCTCCAGAGACACATCCCCACAAAGCTGGCACAGAACTTCCAGAAACTTCCCATTATTTCAAGTAAGGTCAATGTGTCTCTGGCCTGAGAACTCAGCATGGCTCTAAAGGTGGAAGCCAGGGTCCAGTTTATCCTTCTAAGAAAAAGGTCCCATTGGTGCCACACGGGAAGGCAGGAAGAAGGTGGTGGAGAACAAGGAGAGGCCATCAGAGTGGGCTCTGAGCAGATGGGATGACAAGAGGAAAGGACTTGCTCAGCTCAGTGCTAGGAGGCAGTAGTGGTGGGCTCATGGAACTGAAGCTGGAGCTCAGCAGCATCCCCTGAAACTGACAGTCTAGTCTCTGCCA